ACCACTGATCCATCACACACAACAGGAAAGGTAGGGCAGGTCTCAGCATTCACACGCAAAAATGTGAGCGTAGAAAAAAACAAAACAGGACTACTAGTGATGCACTGTTCCTCCCTTACCTGTCAAAGGAAAAAAGAAAAAAGCTCCTGACTCCCAAGAAAACTAGTGAGGAGAAAGAGCAGTAAGTCCCCACAATTCCTCTATGTTTTTGAGTATTTTTTCCAGGAACTAAAGCGTGAGAATCCACCAGATGATCCAACAGTTCCACCACTGAGTGCATATCCAAAGGAAATGAAGTTAGCCTGTCCAGGAAATATCTGCTTTCTTATGTTCCTTGCAGCTCAATAATCATGTCGTGGAAATAATTTGTGTCCACCAACAGATCAGTGAATAAAGAAACTGTGATAAAGATGGAAATCATCATTTGCAGTAACATGTATGTCCTGGAGAACCTCGTGCTGAATGAAATGGACCAAATGTGGAATGACAAAGACCACATGACCTCACTGATTCTTGTAGAGTATAAAGCACCAAGTTCATAGAAGTAGAAGGTAGAATAGTTATTGCTGGGAACTGGTGGAGGATAGGAGGCAATGGGGGGTCACGGGATCCAAAGTTTCAATGAGGAAGAGTAATGTTAAAGATTTACTTATGCTGCGATGGAGTGGTACACCACTGTGGATACACTCCACGTTTCAGGAATCTGTGTATCTACTGATGTAGATGGAAGCCACTTCCAATTCTCACCTATGATAGTTTGTGTTACTATAAACATGGATATGTGTGTATCACTGTAATACGATGCCTTCAACTCTTTCAGGAAGACATAGAGGAGGGAAATCGCTGTATCATATAATAGTCCTGCTTTTAAGTTTTTGAGGAAGCTCCATACTACTTTCCATAAAGGTCGTGCTAATTTACAATTCCATAAAAAATGCATAAGATCACCTTTTGTCCCGATCTTCAGCAATATTAATCTTATTAACAAATATTATAAACATTAGCAAGCAAATTTTATAACACTTGTGTTATTTGGGTGCTGGAAAAATTGTAAATGCTTTGCATTTTAAAAATGTTTTATCGACAATATGGTAGCCATTGTTGATTTTCCTGTTGTCTGGTTTTGAAGACGAGTAGTGCTTTCAGTCTTCTGTTTTGATCTGTTTTATACTATTTTGTTGTGTTTGAATTCTTTGCATATGAACATATAGACTCTTTAGAATAAAATAAGAGACATTATGGTAGCCACTGTTGATCTCCTGTTGTCTTGCTTTGAAATCCTGTGTCACTTGCATTGTTTTCTTCTGATTTGCTTTGTTCGGTTTTGTTTTACCCTCTTTCAAATAAACAAAAAATATATTTTGTCATCAGATAAATTTAACCAAGGAAAGGACAAACAAAAGTTATTCCACAATTACTGGTAACCTTTAGTGATTTAAAATTTTTGATTATGGAAAGAGAAAATGGCTTTGTATTAGTTCTTGTTTCCTTGTTAGCTACTTACTCATTTAGAAGTACATACCTTTCAGTTTTCTATAATGATAGAATGATACATAACAAAGGTTATATGGAATCTTATTTCCTAAAAAATCATGTTTTTAACCAAGTTGGTTATAATGTAATGGACAGTGAACTAGAATAAGTTGTATAAACCTGTTCTACAAAACTGTAATTTTTAATAGAAAATTTATTATGAAAGTAAAGGTTTTGAAAGGTGATTCTTTATATAATTTTTCTGCTGTTTTTTAAGCTTTGAAAATAGTCAAAGAATAAAATGAAAGTATAATTAAATAGACATTTTCAGTTCATAGCTCTTGGCAACACAGAGAGTTTTGCTATCTCTGATTTCATTCTGACACAAAAACCTTAAAAAATGCAGCCTGCGATACTAGTGATCTGCACCATTTCTGAACAGCTCTAATCTTCTCTTGGAAAAATGGAGTCTTGCACAGCATGTCTAGGAATTGAGGTTAAACCCAGCAGGCATCTAATGGCAAAATAGCTAGATCACCTTCACACACAAGCGCTGTTCAATTTGTTGCATATTTTGGTTTATTTCCCAGATCTCTGAAATGGTTGTTTTTGTAAATAATTTAATCCAGTTATTTTATGGGAAAAATTTACCAAGCTTCTTATTTCAACTTTCCAGTCCTAAATATCTGACTTTATTATCCATTTAAAGACTGACAATCTGTTGATAATTTTTGAAGAAAATATAAAGACAAATCACAGTCTCTGTCCACGCCTGTTCTCTTTCCTGTGTGTTTTGACCGACTCCCACGTTACACTGTGCTGTTTCTCTGGAGAACCCAGACTAACGGGGTCCTCACACCGAGGAGCAGAAAGCAGACAGGAAAGACCACTCTCTGATCTTCTCCCTTCAGCCTCAAAGCTGTCTGCAGTGCTCCTTAGTGGTAAATCGCAGTGAAAACCACTAAGGTGCACAGTGTCCCAGCCCCATAATCAAAAAGCTAAATATAGAAAGGTAGTTTGGAGTTGAAAGACCACAGCTCAGTGATAGGAACACTACCTACCTGCCCAGCGCTACTTGAACTTCATTTCTGTGGGCACTTCCTGCATCTCTGTCACCCTGACCCAGGCTGGGATTCCCTCCTCCTGTGCCTGTAGAACCCCAATCTCCTTTTTACCACATCACACCTCCTACGTTTGTGGTTACTTATTTTTGGGTATGTACTGTGTTTCGACAGTTTGGAACTATATCTTTTATTTTTGTATTCTCTATGTAGAAGTTAAAAAGCTTCTGTGCAAATTAAGCCAATACCTATCATCTGACAGTTTGTGTGGCTGAGAATTCAGGAGTGTTCTAGCTGCCTGGGTAGCTCTGGTCAACCTCTGTACTGAGGCTGCTCTCACAATGGTGGTTAGAGGGCTGGGGATTTAGCCCAGTGGCCTAAGTGCCTGTCTGGCAAGCATGAGGTCATAGATCAATCCCAGTACCCCCCCAAAACAAACAAACAAACAAATGAAAAACCAATGGTACTTGGAGATGCATTTATCATCTAAAGGCTTTACGGGAGCTAGAAGATGCACTCCCAAGATAGCACAGTTATTATAAAATATATGATACACATATCATGCATTTATATTACTATCTATAGTAAATAATATGTAGGGAGGCCACACCGACTCCATTTTGTCCCAGACACATCCAGTTGACAGTGTTTGGTAGAAAGCACAGGCCTGAAACATTCCCTGCTCCAAGGTAAAAGCAGGAGGTCCCATAAGGACAGGAAGCAAACAAGTTACATAATCTAAGCACAAACAATATGAGTTTCTTTGTTCTTTATCTGAATAAAAGCTGCTTGTTTATGCTGGCCGGCAGCAACCATTTAGCTGACCCTTAGTGTGTGTGTCCCTTTATTTTCCCTTTTCTTGAAGAACCTCTACAATATTACATACAATCTCTTACTAAAATTTATTATATATTATCTGCATATTACATAATATATAAATTATAAATATTACACAAATATTTATTATATATTATATATTTGCACATAGTAAATTAATGTATAGTAAATATAAATATGAAAATATAAACTTAATAATAAATGTTTTAAAACATTATATAATATAAATATATATTTATATATTATATAAATATAAGTGTGTCCAAAAATTATATATATTATATATGATGATAGTGCATCTAAAATATTATTAAAATAATAATAAATATAAAATAAAATAAATATAACAAATATCTATAAAAATAATGTATAATATACATGTATGAATGAATACTATATAGAAAGTAATAGAATAATAACATATATAAGAAAGTAATATAGGGGCTGGGGATTTAGCTCAGTGGCATAAGCGCCTGCCTTGCAAGTATGTGGTCATGAGCTCGATCCCTGGTACTGATAAAAAAGGAAAAGACAAAAAAAAGTAGTATAGGGGCTGGGGATTTAGCTCAGCAGCATAAGTGCCTGCCTTGCAAGCAGGCAGTCGTGAGTTCGATCCCCGTACCGATAAAAAAAGAAAAAAAAAAGTAATATAAATGTAATAAATGCATTTATTTAGCATATTATTTAATTTATATAATATATTATAAAAGTAATATATTATGTACAGTATAGTATATACTTGATATATTATATAATAAATTAATGTATATATTATAATATAATATGTATATATTGTATAATGTAAATAATATTGTATATATTATATTGTATATATAAAATAGATGATATAATAAAAACATTGTTTACCATTCTAAAATATGGATAATATTTAATGTTATATTCTATCATATATTATAATTATATAGTTATATACTGTATTATATTATGTATAATATTGTGTAACCTATAATCTTACTACTTATACAATTAATATTATATTGATTATACTGTATGAGTGCTTTATTAATTATATGATATTATATAATATATAATTATATGACATAATGATGTGTAATCACATATTGTATATATTATATATTATATGCTATATATGTGTAATATACATAATCATATATTTGTAGAATACATATGTATGGGGGACTGTCTCCTCAGTTCTTTTTGCTTAGGCATTTACCTAAGTTAGAGCAAGGTTCTATTATAATGGAGTAGGGAGCACTTTCTTTTAACTGCAGTGGGCCTGAATATCAGTGCGAACAATCTCCCAATGCATTCATATTTCTGGGCTCAATCTCCCAGCATGTTTTTGGGAGAATATAACCTTTACTTCTTATACAACTTAAAAGGAAAGCAGATATAGACATAGTGTGAAAGCATATTAATATAAAAGTGACCATAGCACAAATATCTAAAGAAGGGTGAGAGATAATAGACTAGATGAAAAACATATATATGAATTAACACAATAAAGGTATAAACCTGAGAAAATAAAGAAAATCATATTAAATAATTCAGAAATAGATACAATTAAACACTTGTATGAAAAATAGGGAAAACAAAAGAAAATGAAACAAAACACAAATGAAAGGGCCGATAATAAAAAGCCAGAAATTCCTTCTTGCTGAAATGTTTAATATGGAAATGGAGATGGTTCTTTCTGTGAGCTGTAGTTTGGAGACTGCCAGGAACGGGGGTGGGTAATGGGGCTTCTCAGCACCAAACAGTCCACACCAGGTGTGCCCAGGTACAGAGTGAGGCCTGTCCGGCCTTGCCTACCACTGTGGCTAGGACAGTGTCTTCTGTATGACTGTACTCATGCTCGTGGGCTTTTTGCAGCCATGGGTAATGGGAAGTCACTGGAGCCACCTGCAAGCCCACTGCCCTGCCACACCTGCGGACCCGTCTGGTAATTCCCCCACACTCCCAAAGCCCTCTACCTGTGTGCCTGTAGGAGTAGCTAGTGGTCCAGAGGTGGTGGCACAGACCTTGTACGCCTTTGCGGTGGAGGAGGTAACTAAATCAACACCATTTGCACTGAGGGAGACTGTGCTGTGGTAGGAACGGTTGGTGCACAGCCCCTGTGTGAACCCACACAGCTGAGTTTTCTGTTTCCCACAAGTGCATCTTCTGGGTTTAACTAGAAGCACCTTCTCCTCTCCATGTCACAGACCGTGCTTCCCACCACACAGATTTCTCCACAGACTCATGTCAAAGTCACTTCCTTAGCCGACATTCTCTTCCAGGATGTCAGCCGTATGCGTCAGTGAGCAGAAGATGCTGATGAGTCTTGGAGACATAAAAATGCACGGCTTTCTGGTCTTCTGAGCATTATGTTCAGACAATAGAATATTTCATTAGGCAATTCGCTGTTACAACGCCATGTTAATATGCCAGAAAATACTGGGAAATTCTTCTGTGCTGTCTAGCTATATACATCTTAGGCCTTCTGAATGCTCATGCTGTGTGTTATTATGGTGCCAGGTTCTGTGTTTGGGGAGATCTTCGTGACTTTTTCTCATTTCTCTTGCTGGGAGCTGGAGGGTTTCCCTTCCCCATACTGTGTTGCTGTAACCTAAGTGTTACGGCCCTCTGTTCCATTACAGTTTTAAAATCTAGTGTTTCTGAGGTTTTTTGGTCCCTGATTCTTACTGCAAAAGTGCCTTCCCATGAGGCCCTGGCTCACCTCACCATGTGACTACATTATTGTCTTTGCTTTTACAGGAAAAATTAGGTGACTGCGATATTAAAACACCATGAAAATCACATGGTCGCTTTTACCCATTCTGTTCACTTTGACCATAAGTTATGGAAATCATAAAAATCACCCAGATTTCTTTAAAGAATATTTCTTATTCCATTCTGACAAACTTCAAGCATGGTACAATCACTCTTCACATTTGGTATTCTTGGCATTGGATCCTGTCTTAGTTGGAATCCAATCACTCTTCTCCAGTGGACATCATTGTCTTCAAGTGTCTTTTCTGCCAAGAAAGATTCTTTAAATTTGATATTCTGAGTCCTCTAAATGAAAAAGAAAGTCTAAGGACACAGAGAAGGGTTTGTAGAGATTATTGATAGTGATTCTGTATATTTATGCTTTAGCAAATGTAGCTTAAAAACATGTCAATCTGATTTCTAATGACAGCTTCTACTGGGTGGAGCAAATTGGAATTGAACGCAATGGTCATGTCCCAGGCATCAATAACACCCACACTGAGATCTTTGAAGATGTCCTGTATGGTAAGATACTGAATGTATCCATGGAAGTCATCAAACCACTCTTGATCTGCCGGCATTTCCCTGATATTTTCTGTCTTAATAATCACTTTAGTGGCTGGGCTTCGTAGAAACAGTCGTTCAATTGCTTTTCGAATGTTGATAGCCCTGCGAATAAAAACCTCAATGGGGAACGGTCTGAAGTGATGGCCGAAGGTGATGACGATGGCTGTGTGCTGGTCCCCTGGCACCCGGTCGATCTCCAGGGGGATATAGCCGTCATCTATCACTGAATACCCATGAAGGGTACTGAAAGGGTAGCTGTGCTTTTTCCATTGCACCTGGGTGTGCCGTTTAGCATCCAGGAGCAAACGTTTTGGAAAACTTCCAGTTCCATGGAGATCAAAAGATTTTAGTGCTGATAAAAAAAATAAACAGGTCTTTAATTCCAATGCAGCAATGAATATTTTCAGAAATAATATATTACCTACAATACCCACCGAGAGTATTTTGTCTTCTATAACTACAAGGCAATGATTAATGTTTGTGAAAGACTGTCCTGTTATTTGCAGTTCTCACTTAGAACACCTCCTCAGGAGCATTTGGTAACTCTAAGGTTACCAAATCACGTACGTGGCTGTCTATCAAAGTGCAAAGTTTTCACTGAATTTCTTTTCAATTATAAAAACTTTTATTGTGGCAAACAATATAACAAAATGAAATGTAACAAAAGTTTGCTGTTTTAGCCATTTTGAGCATGTAATTCAGTGGTATTAATTCAATTTTACTAATTACAGTCACAATGTTCTACAATCATTGCCATTATTTCCAAAACTTTTTCATCACCCTAAACTAAAACTGTGTCCTGTTAAACAGTAACTCCTTGTTCCCCCATTTTTCCTAGGCCCCACTAACCTGTTGTCCATTTTCTGTCTTTATGGAGATGCTTATTCTGTATATATCCTGGAATCATATTTGTTGTTCTGTCTGCCTTGTTTTGTATGTTCAAGGATTCTCATTGTTGTAGCATGTATCAGAACTATGTTCCTGTTTTTCTTTCTTTCTCTTTGTGTGTGTGTGTGTGTGTGTGTGTGTGTGTGTGTGTGTGTGGTGTCCAGGTTTCAATTCAAGGTCTCATGCTTGATAAACAAGCTAAGTGCCACTGGGATCACATCCCCAGCCCCAAACTTCTCTGGTTTTTATGGATGAATAATATTCTGTTCAGTGTCTGTAGTACATTTTGTTTATCCATTCATGTGCTGATGGACACATTATCATTTTCACCTTTTGGTTATTTGTCACTCATTTAGAGGTATCTACTTGAGTTCCAATTTTCCATTTTTGGGAGTATATAATAAATGAAATTGCTGTATCTTTTAGTAATTCTGTGTGTAACTTCTTAAGGAACTTCCAAACTGTTCTCCACAGCAGATCTAATCACATCCCCACCCGCGATGTATGAGGGTTCTAATTTTCCTCATCAATATTTATTTTATTTTGTTATTTCAGCTTTGTTGATAGTGATGAAATAGTACCTCATGTAATGTTTTGTTTGTTTGTTTTTCAGTAGTGATGATTGAACCCAGGATCTCTGAATTTCTTGATTTATATTGTAAGATAAATCTCACTAAGTAACTCTCTTTTGAGACAAGGTCTCACTGTGTATTCCAGGATGGCCCCATGCTCACTGGGTAGCCTAGGCTGGCCTTCAGCCCTGCTTCAGGGATCCTCCGGCCTCTGCCTCCCAAGCGCTGTTATTACAGGTATGTGCCATAACATCAGCGGCTAAGCAACTAAATCTCCCAAAATGGACTGGTTTTGATCCTCCTGCGTCAGCCTCTCAGGGTGCTGGCATCACAGGTCTGTGCCACCATGCGTAATTTCATTTTACCTTTTAAAAAAATTTTTTTTTATTTTTATCGGTACCAAGAATCGAACTCACGACCGCCTGCTTACAAGGCAGGCGCTTATGCTGCTGAGCTAAATCCCCAGCCCCTCATTTTACTTTTGATCTGCATTTTCTAATAACTTATGATTGGAGCATCTTTTTAGGTGCTTGTTAAACATTTATATATTTTTAGAGAAGCATCTATTCGTTGGAATTTATAAGGAGCAAAACAGCATTTCTTAGGAAAGAGGGAATAAAATACATGTCAACTGAAATGTTTCGAAATCAGAAAGCTAAATATGGTAAAAATCAAAATAGCCCAAGTGAAAGAATAGAGACCTCATTAAAAGTACTTTAAAATCAGCCTGAATTTCTAAAACAACGCAAGGGAATTACATACTTTTTAGAACTTTGGGCAGGTATTCAATCCACTGACGCAGTGTGGAGTCTCCGTGGAGGTAGATGAGCTTTCTCTTCAGACAGCCGGTTATCTTAGCTGTACTGAACTGAGCCTGGTTGCAAAACGCTGTGATCCACCTTTCCTGCAGAGTGTAACCGCCGGGGAAGGGCATCTGCATCCCAATTCCACATCTCTCTTTTATTGCTTCACTTTCTGCAGACAGATAAAGGTTGTTAGTGGTTTTCATGGCATCTGATAATTCCCAGACTTCTTTTCCTTCCCTTCTCCAGCTCTTGTGTATTCCTTTAACTCTTGTTTCTTTTTTCCTCTCTTAGTACTGTCACTTGTTTTAAGTCATCTTAACTCATTCTACTGAGATGTTTCGGGTCATCTCGCCACCTCTCCACTCATCCTCTCCTAAACCTGGTCACTGCTAAGTCTCAAGTTCTCTTCTTTCATTGTCATCCCTAATGAGTCTTTAGGGACTGAAGTCTTTTTCTAATCTGAATATTAGTGGTCTGTTAGTTGAGGTTCTAATTTTTGAATTATTTATCTCAATTCTGTCAACCAAGAAATAATCTTAACTTCCATATCTAAAAAATACTTTATAATTTTACATATGTGCATTTCAAAAGCTTCGAACAGAACCAGGAGTGGGGGCCCACACTTGAAAATAGAGGGCTTCATAAGATGGAAGCAGGAGGACCGCAAGTTTGAGCCCAGTTGGAACAAAATTAGCAACTTAGTAAAACTTTTTCTCAAAACTGAAAAAAAAAGTGTGGATACATCTCAGGGTAAAGAACCCTGGGTTCCATCCGATCCTGCAAAAAGTAAGAATGAAAACAATAAAAACAGAAAGCATCACTCCAACAAACAAAAAGCCAAATGCGTAAAAATAAATTGATAAATATAAATTTTTTAAAATTACAAAATAAGAATTTCAAACAATATGAAAAGCCCGTTTATTTCTAAATAGAACTTTATGAAAGTATCGTGCAGCTTGAAGCACAAACCAACATTCTGAGTTATTCCAGCAAGATCTGCTAGCACTGTTACGTTCTGCCTTCCAAGGTATTCTATCTGGCAGAGCATGAAGTGTTCCCATAATCCTAAAATAATTTTTAAATTTTATAGTGACATGATTAGGCTTTCAGGAGGCCTGGTGGTATTATATCCTGACTAGTTTTAATAACATGATCCTAGAAACTTAGGTCTTATAGTTTCTAAGTACTTGTTAGCCTACTAATGTCCTGGTACAGCTGCAAAGACAGCCTTGAGCTTATTACTGGTTGTCAGGTCTCACCTAACATAGTGCCAGCACATTCATTATCTCCTGGTTGCTCTTGCATGTTTAATTTTAGAATAGAATTTTAATTTTAGAAAACTATGTAGTACATGGTACAAAATTTCATCTTTTTTCAGTAGATTAGAGGTAGTGATAAGCAAGCTACTGCTCCAAAGGTTTAAAGTTCAGCACTAATTCATCAAACCTGTGAATATGCTGCCTTCTCAGAAAAAGGAATTTTCCAGATGCGAGATAAAATGATTTTCCTGAATTCTCTTTGGCAACAGGAGAAGACTCCTAGCTAAATTCCTTATTCCTCCAACATGTAATGTAGAAGCAGAAGATAGACCAAAGGTACACAATATAAGGATTTGAACAACTGTTGCATTATTGGAGGCCAAGGAATGCCTTCAGCAACTGTAGACTCTAGAAGCTGGAATAGGCAAAGATACTGATGTCCCCCTAGAGCCGCTAGAAAAGGAACACAGCTCAGCTATACTTCAACTGTAGCTCAGTGAGACTGATGTCTAGCTCCTGAATGACAAGATGTTACAGTAGCAATAAGAAATGCATATAGACTAAAACCATATTATTTTCAATATTAGGACATTCCAATTTGAAACAGCATATTTTCTTCTATTTGTATAAATTTTATTTCATATTCTTCAGTAACATTTCAAATTTTCTTTCTATAGATCATACTCATTTTGATTATTTGCTTTTTAAAGCACACAGTACACATACCACTATATTTTCCCTTGATCTCTGTGTTTCAAAAGCCCAACAAAAAAGCACTCAACAGAGGACCTGACTTCCTCTTCCTCTCCTTATTGATATTGATTGGCTATGCTCTACCTCACACCGCCCTCATTGGTTATATGAACAAGGTTAGTAATAATTTTTCTCATGAGAATAGTTCCTGATAAGTTCCTAAAATACACTGTAGCACTTTAAGTTAGTACTACTTCTAGCAAGGAATACCTTTTAGTATGTCGCAAGTAATACTTTCCCTTTATCTCATTGTAAATAGACACAATCAGATATTGCTCATTTAACTGATTCCCTACATTATTTACTTAACCCTAGCTATTCTATCCCTGATATTTATGAAATATCTCCTTCGCCCTATTCTCTAACTACAGTTATCCTCAGGGTTCAGTCAACGGTTAACTATAGCATAAGTCTTTCTGCATTTGCTGTCTTCATACAAATAGTAGATGAATATTTTTCAAATTGCAGGCTTACTAAGGATTTATTTTCCCAATTCTTCCTATAATGCTTCATATCGATTAGACTTCCAATGAACATTTTCTGACTAAATGAATAAATATTGGCAACAAGTCATTATTAGTTGCTAAGTTTACCAGTGTTAGTGATGAAATAAACATTTTGTAGAAAGTTATTTTAAAGCTAAAGTAGTATGCTTCGTATGGAACATCACTTTCTGTTTGTTACTAAAGCATTTAGTAAGATGGGAACATCATATAGAACTGATAAGTGCATCAAAAGCAGTTATGGGTTCTGCCGACAGAATTAGGAAAATCAAAACCAGACTGTCTCTCCTCTGAAGCTGTAGGTGTCCATCAAAGACATTTACATGGAGACTCAGACACTAGGAGCTGAAGTCCTAGGTTTAAATAGAATGTACAACATTACTACTGTTTTCTTCTCTTGAGGAAATCAAGATGAAATCTGTTAAAGCAAAGTTTAAAATAATTTTTAAAAATTGATTTCTTTTGGAAGTCTAGCACGATGGACAACACAAACAGAAGTTAAAGATTATCCTGCAGCAAGCTACAATTAACACAGGTTAACACTGATAAACTTTGTCATGAGTTAGACACGAGCCAAGCAGCACCTACTGCAAATAGAGCAGACTTACTGTTACATTGGGAGACCTTAATAGGTTTAAAGTCTTTCATTATTTCAACTCCCACTTTGGACCTTCAAAAGATAAGACAAATTAGACCATTGTCCATACAAATCAGGCAACAAAAATCCACATGATTGTAAATGAAGGATAGTTTTCAATATTTTATAAATGAAACTTGTTTTGTTGTAAATTTTATATATATTGTGTATTATAAATAAGGACTTTGTAAGACTTTCTATCCTACTGAAACCACCCAAAGTCCTTGTCAGCTCTACTGAACTGCTAAGTGCAATCAGTGTGACCTGTGACTGTATGTCTCAAGTATTTTATGAAATTTGCAAGTTCACTATCTGTTTCTATGTCATTTCTTCAAGTTCATATACTGTTTTTTAAAATTATTATGTTTTACTTATTGACCATTCTGGCTCAGTTTTATTCTACCTAAATTCCTCAACACAACTGCCAGGGCACCCTTTCCAGCTGCCAAGGTACGTGCACTTCCTTTGAGCTCCTGTCTCATCCCCCATCACTTACGCAAGGAGTGCAGACCCCTCATTATGCACGTAGAGCTTTTCCTACAGGGCTCCTGGTTCCCTCTTTAGCCAAGTTCCTGTGTGTCCACCTTGTTTTCCTGCACACTGCTGTATGAAGACTAAGTTGTCTGAAGGAAATGGTCTTGTCTATTGCCATACCCTGAATCTCCATCACAGTTGGTGACAGAAAGTAGTGGCCATGCAGAAATAAGTGAAGGCTACAATTCTTTCCTCCAGCTGATGAAAGACTGCGTTACTATTCCTGCTCCAAAGCTCTTTCTTCCTCATCTCCTCTGAGTCAGTTTTTGTTTAACCTGTGTTCAGGCAGGAAGGACTAAGGACAGAACAGGGATTTGGGTACCAGGTGCAGCGTATGCAGTCACCCTACTCTTTCCTACAGGTGTCGCTTCAGGTGCAGTCCCATGAAGGCAGTATGCTTATCCTCAACTGAGGTCTGAGTGTGAGGGTGGTCGAGTGTGGAGAGTCTGGTGAGTTGTACAATCTGAGATAGGCAGCAGAAACCTAACTGTGCTTTTACTTATTCAAAAGTGAATTGAAGAGTATGGATAATGTACTCAAATTTGAATATTCTAATAAGATTCTAAAGTACAAATCTATTCCATGTTTGTGTTTACTCCTACTTCCTATGTATGTATTTTTTGAAGCTTAAAGGAAAAGCTCTCTAAGTTTGACTATGAAATTTGCTAATAAGTGACGCTGAAATCCTGGTATTCTACTGTCCCCTTGCTTAAGGAAAATAAATACCCATGGCGACTTGGTGTAGACTTTTGTAGAACGAAAAAGAAAAAGGAAAAGAATTGAGGCTTATAGGAAGTTAGCAAATGAACCAAAGATTCTGGGACTGGTAAGTGTCTCAGGGCTTAGCTGTGAGTTCTGGATTTGTGATTCGTCACCTTTTGTAAACCTCACAGTGGCCCTGATGTTTCATTCATGCAGACACCAGTTTTGTTCAATCAAAAGCTTCCAATAACTGGTTGGGTCACACTTTGGGTGCAATGATGAATGCCTTGGCTTTGAGTAGTATATTTAGAGGCATCTCACCATAAGATCAAATGGAAATGTCCTGTAGGAGTGGTTTTTTAAAAGGTGCTTAGGCTGATGATGGACAGTTGAGAAGCTATTGTAGTAATCTAGGCGACACCACTATGGCTTAAATTTGAACAGTAGACTAGGCATGGAAAGAATGATTGAAAGTAAAGGTAATTGACATACAGAATGAGTGGGCTATAGTAAAAGAGGTGATGGAGCATCCTGTCTCATATACTTCCCAAACAGCTTTTCTGATGCTATATTTATGAACACAGAATAGACACCTTCTGTAGAATGTATTTGAAAAATTTTACATCTGTAGTAAAATATATGACTGAATGTGACACTGCTGTTTTCTGTAGAAAAGAATAGGTAAATCTTTTTAGTTTTCTACCCATGCATCCCTCTTTTCTTGAACATTTCAGTGACAATGCAAATTGTGGGCTGAGTCAAGGGAGACCCCATCTGTCTGCCCAGGATGTTAAACAGAGTCATCTGAGGGTGTCATGCTCAGCGCTGACCCGGACAGTGCACCTCTGTCGGGGGCAGGGCCTGTCTCTGTGTTGAGAAGTGTGCTCACCTGTGGAAAAGGCTCTGCTCCTGGACAGTGAGATAAGGGATATTATGGTTCCTGGTAGACACGTGGGTGAGGGCCTCACAGGGCATGTGCTGAGGCTTTACACAGTAGAAGACTTCATGTTCTCCGCCAAACAGGAACTTGCATAGTTCTGCGCTTGAGTTTAAGGTCAGTCCACATTCAGCAAGTGCCTGTGCACTGCCGTTAACAAATTTACCTCTGAAAATAATTATATTGTGCGTTTCTTTCCTTGCCCTCCACAGGGCTGAAGCCCCTTCACTGGGGTGCATGAGCAGCACAGACAGGGAGACCCGGCCCTCCCAGAACAGAGTGAAGCTCACAAGGTAGGTGCCATTGTTGAAGTCCGTCACCTTTCCTGATGCACCGGCCTTAAGGCTTGGGGAAGACATCCTGGCCCTCAAAAAGTCTCCGCCATATTCCTTCCTGCGTCCTAGGTGGTCCCTCACCTCCAGCCGGATGTCCAGTTGGTCCCCCCGGCAGTACGTGTCCTGAGGGTTGAGGATGGTGGTCACGCTGTGGCCTGCACTGGTGGTGGTGCTCTCATCCGTGAAGGTCCTGGGTGGGATCAGCCGATCCAGTTTCTCTGTAATCTCCCTGATTCTCAGCTCAGTCTCTGTTGGCGATTTTGTCAGGTTCACTGATGTTTTGGGACATGAGGACTTTGTAGATATGTTCCCGTTTTGGAGAGTGATAGGTAAATTTAGAGTCAACCAAAACTGTAATGACAAATACATGCCATATCATAAAATCAACTTGTTTTCATAGTCATTTTTGCTTAGAATTGGTTTGAATGTGTATTTACACACTATCATAAACTTTGACTGAAATACACACATTTATGTTTTTACTCCAGTAGAGAATACTTATCAGTCATAGATAAATATATGCAATCTAAAAAGCAGCTTAGAGAATATGTAAGAGTAACAGACTGATGCTGGTATATTTGTTTTTACCTTGCCTGTCCACCTTACGTCTAATAAACAGTTTCTATTAATTCTGCCTATGCATGTCTTTTACCTATGTCTAATAACCTTTCATTCCCAAACTATCATGGTACAAACATCATCATTTATTCCCTTATATTCTGGTAGTCACTTTAATAGTGAAGATGGTCATCAGACCTCATGAGGACAGTCCTGGTCTCTTTCTTTCTACTCTGTCCCACTGTGGCTAAGCCAGTCTTTCAAAGTATAGTTATTTCTTAATAGATTAAGGGAAAAAAACTTTCAAGATTTTTCACTGTTTTCTTCTTCTCTAACTGGGGATTATAGTTGTCAAAAACATTTGTGATATTTTAAAGTTTTTATTTATCTTTAAAATTCAGAAAATAGAAAACTTTAAACATTTTCAAAGGCAAGAAGAAAACAAGATTAACTGTCATCAATTGAACATATTAGTAGTTCTGGACAATAAAATTAAAGAAGCAAAAAATTCTAAGGTATAAGAATTGCAAAACATGTTTAAGTTTTTTATTTATATTGTTTTTTGTGATCCTATGATTGTCTACAAAGATAATCAGGGTTGGAAAAATCAATGGTATTATGAGGTACAGCCTTGGGATTGATACAAATAAATTTATAAAATAATAATATGCATTGACACCAGTAATAATTAATAGAAAATGCAATAGGAGATAAGTTATGATCTTGATAACAGCATATGGTAAGAAAATCATGCTATTGATTAACAAAAAGTAATTTGTTCATAGAAGAAATAGAAAAAAAATGAAGGCACAACGTCAAACTAGATTTGTCTGATCCAGGAATGTGTACCCTGGAGAAGTGACCAGTACTTATTTAATGGCACAGACGATGGTGCCTTAACCAGAGCCGTTATGGGTTACACGGGAGACAGAGCTCTGCTTGGATGGATTGCGGGAAAATGGAGAGTGAGGGGAGGAAGGCAGTGTTCCCGACCCCGCTGACAGGAGGCAGAGAAGCAGGGAGAGCAGAGCTGGGGCGGAGAAGAGGGCGGAATCCATCAATGATTTCTGACCTGATACAGGTCCGCCACGGGAGGCTTCAAATTAAATGGGAGAAAACTGCCCCTACCTTCGTGGTGTTTTGAGAAACTACAAGAATTATCCAGGTAAGGATTAGAAGAGATGACAACATCAGCAGTGCTTTTTGAAGCTTCATGTTTGGGAACATGACGAGTGTCCCCTGAAAGAAAACACAGGAGAAGGAATAAGGTAAGAACTGCGTCCCTCTGTAGGCATTGTCTCATTCTGACCCTGTAACATGCACCTGCGGCTTTAGCCCTCCTGACTCACTCCACACAAAAGGAAGGGGGTGATCCAGCAGGGTTACTGCAGGAGAGAGGGAAGGAGAGACAGGGAGAGGTGCTGAGGGGGAGAGGGGAGGAGCAGAGTCGTGGAGAAAGGAGTAAGATTCTGGATTTTTAAAGCTTACTTTATATCTTAATAGCATTAAAAAAAAAGCTTACTTCAGTGTGCAAAATATGAGGCTTCTTCTCTGTTCTTTGTCAAATCCTCAGTGAAGTTGAAATTGTGTAAAGAAAAAAAAAGACATAAATAAACAAATCAGCTGGGGATACAGCTCAGAGGCACAGTGCCTGTCTGGCAAGTGCAAGGTTCTGAGTTTGATTCCAGGTACCAAAAATAAATACAAGCAAATCACTTAAAATAAAAGAAAAAATTTTATATCAATGGAATCATTTAGTAGAACCCACAAAGATTTCATTTTTCAGTCTCAGACATGCAGAGCAAAATCAGATACTTTTATGCAAAATGGGGGGACAGTTTAGAGATTGTTAAGTTTTAGAAAGTCCAAGATGATATCTTTTTTTTAACAAATGTGCAGTACACAATTGTAATTCACACTAAAATATCCCTATTGAACTATGATTTCCAAAACATGAAAGCATGGCGTAAAAGGGATACTCAGTTTCTAGTCCACATTGGTATTGGGGTGAAAAAGGACAAAGTAGCAACTGAACCTGTCACTCCGTAACTTGTCATTGTTTGTAAACTTTCTGATCAATAAAAGACTGTACTAAGAGGATTGGGATAATATATATGTGAGTGTTATCTGCTTGATGCCCAGTAAAGTAACTGACAAACACTATTTTTAAAAACAATTAATTTAAAAAGTAGAATTTTGCTTTTCAGGCCAATGTCAAGTTCAATGAAATGTAATATTATCTCAGAACATACAAATAGCATAATATGTGTAAAAGGGTAAACTAATAGAGGCAATCAAATACTCTAAATGCCCAGCATCCGAAAAAAATCCAGGCTTTCTGACTCCTTAAATAACTTCATAACGTATGTCTGACTGATTCATTTTTCCTTCTCTGGAAAGAAGCATATAGAGATGTTTCAGCAACACTGAAATAAACAAAAAATAAGCATGATTATCAATTTGCCTTTATAAATCTTAGATTCTCAATTTCCTTGCAATGAATTTTTAAGCTTATCTACTTATTCACTTATTTTCTAAAAACCAAAAACTCACCACAAATGTGTCTGGTACCATATAATATTCTAGAGACAAACAAAATCAACAAATGAATAAAATAGACATTTCTGAGCACTGGAAGACGGTGGTAGAAACACTGCGTTCTTGCTGTGTAACATAAATGCTCCCGAGCTTCGGAGTCATCAGCTGCACCCTTCAACCTGAAATCCTCATCTTTTCCTTCCTTACTACAGTGGTGTCCTCTAATCGCCACCAAATTCTCTGGGACTCATTATTTGAGTCCCAGCTTGAGTACCATTTACTCTTTCATCATTCATCTTAACTGATGGATCCCTCATGTTCCCCTAATCTATTATACATACCTTTGCTATAATTTTTTGTTTTGTTTTGTTATATCACAGTGTGTTATATTGCCTTGACTGTCTGCTCTTTCATTGAATGGAGGAACTTCTGGAGATGATACCATCACTCAAGAAGACCGCAATCTCAGGCTGGAACCACCTCACTCATATACTGATATGTGTCCCACAAGATCTCGGTCCTGACAACCAATTCTCTAATGATATCCTTGTCTAACATTTGGACTGATGTACTACAAACCAGTGAGAATTGCTCTCTTGAGAGTGGCCAAAGTACTTTGTAAGGTGGAATTTTAGTATTGGCAGGCTCCTTAAAATTTATTAATCCATTTCTCATTTCTGTAATTATTTTTGCATCTGCTTTCTACTTGGAAATTTTTCAAGATCACCATTGTCTAAACCAAAAGCAACTGCAGTTCATGATTCTTGGAGATTTATAGCAGATAATATGCTTTATACTTAAATCAGTACCTGACCCAGATGCTACTATTGATCTTGAGCTCTGCATATCCCTATGTCCTCAGGGTGTCTCCACTTGGAAATCTCCATGGGCAGAGATGTGCTGGACCTGGCCTACATTAGCTAATGAGAGCCTACTACGCCCATCTCTCCCCAGTGCAAATAGGGCATTATGGACCAACGTGCATCAGGGAAATCAGCAAAGGATGAAAACAGGTCCTTTTCTGGGAAAGCAGATTTATCGATACACCCTGCCAAGAGGTTCTTAAAATCAACCGATTCAGTGAGAGTATTTTCTTTTCTCTGAACTCTCTACCTTTTTATTTTTAACCAGGAATCACCAATCGGAATCCCGGTCACTGAATTGTCTGTCTCCATTGGTCTTATCCTGTTATCTTCAGACGTGATTGGCAAAGGGCAAAGACTGCCACTGTTGTCCCTTCTCCCACGAGTGTTAAGTGGTGCGTGGGTGTCCGGTTACACTACATTTCCAGGCCTTCATTGTGTGTGGCGCCCTTTATTTGAAACAGAGAACAGTCAGGTGCACCATGTGCACATCTGCTCCACACCGGCTGCCTTTTTCCTGACAGCAGCCTGCTGAACACAGCAGCAGCCCGTTTTGACCAACTGATGAGACCTCTGAACCTCTTCTTCAAATAATGTTTTAAAATATGTAAAATCGCATATAACAAAAATTAGTGTTGCTGAAGCCCAGCAATCAACATTTCAAATAACAATTTTTCATATGGTCATAAAGCAGTTCTTCATTCCCACATGAAGTGTTAAAATTTACAATATCGGCCTCATATTTACAGTAATTTCAGAGCACTGATAAGTATGAATGGCATTTTGAGCATCTGTATGAACTGTCGTGATGGAACACTACCTGTGACTGGAATTGCTGACTCAGGTACAGGTATTGCTCAAACTGCCATGATTTACTGTTACCATTCATGGTTGAAGAGATTACTGAACTCCTGTTAGAGGCCAGTGAAAATAAAAATGTATTTCTTCCCCACTCAGATCCAGAAAGGTCCTCATCCTGTCCGTGGCCTCATTGGGGTAACCAGCCCAGCGTTATGGCTGGAGGCAGAGGATGGCAGAAGTTCCAAGATTCTTCGCTTCCTGGATGAGCTCAAGAGGCCGAAACCAACTGGACTTCTCCATGAGAGAGAACCCCACACCCACCTTGCTCCCTGTCTCAGCCGTCACATTTGGGGTCTTACTCCCCTCATGGGCACTCCATATGGTCGGCATCTTTTACATTTGTGGAGCTTTCACTGTCATGGCCACTGCCGCCTGGTACATGTATTTCCAATGCATTGCATCAAAATTTCTTTAGTTTAGAAATACTTTATTGTGGCATAATTTATATGCAATAAAATGTGTGGATTTTACTGGCAGTTTTATGAGTGTTGGCCAATGCATACACCTGTGTAGGCACAATAGTCAGCATAGAATGTTACTATGCCTACTGTGCTTCTGGTCCCAGGCAATCACAGGTCTGCTTTAGGGCTCTGCGGATTACATCTGGTTTTCTAGGGGGTTCATATGAATGGAATTATATAGAATGTATTCTTTATGTCTGGCTCCTTTGATTCAGTGTGATAGTTTTGAGAATTCATCTTGGTGCCTTTATAAGCACTTTGTTTCCTTCATTATTGAACACAATTACATTTTGTGGATTTACCAAAAATTCATCATTTTATTGCTATTTGAGTTTTCCAAGTTTGGAGCTCTTATGAATAGAGCTGTTAAAAAATATTTGTGCATACTTTAGTTCTCTACATAGAAAAAGATTTTCATTTCATTTGGGTAAATACCCAAGAGTGGAATAACTATCTAACTGGTCAGTAGATGTTTAACTGGATACACAAAACCCTTTTGGACTTTATCACTCTTAATCTACAGATACATTTGGGGAGAATTGCTTTGGTGGCAATGATGGCCTTCCAATTTGTATGTGTATTGAAATCTGTTTGAACTTGTGAAGACTCGGTTTTATGCAATGAGAAGCTCATGGGAAGAGTGGACTTTATATCAACTGTCTGGATTTTATTGACACTTTACTTAGAAACTGTCACTGTATAGCAGGCATCACCCAAAATTATACACTCAGTTCTGTGATGCCACTTCATTTCATGCAAGGTTCTGTGAAGCCTTCTTTGTACTCACACAGCTCAGGGTTCAGGAAGAATTTGAGGATGGTTTTTAACTAAATTTGAGTCCCTTTCTCTGAACTTTTCTTTTTCCTGGGATTTGCCTGCTTCTTTTCAGCCACTTTGGTCTGAACTCTATCACGTGAAACCTCCAGGTCACGAGTTCGCAGTTTTGTGCTTGAATTTCAGTGGTCCTGCACAGTGAACAGCAAGGTTAGCGTCCAGGGAAAAGCCCCGAAAGTGTAGCTCTGACTGCTACGACCCTCTTCTCCCGGGGCCGCAGTCACCTCCAGTGCCTGCCAGTGTCTGACCTTTCCCTTTGAAATATTTCATATGAGCTTAATACTGTCGTCTGGGAAATGTGGGTGTCATAGAAACAACTGTGAAATTTTCTGCAACTTTTATTTACCGTTCACACAAGTCATTTTGTTTTCCATTTGCTCTGCCTATTGTCTATTATATTTTTACCCTGTTGTCTTCTTTCGTGCTAATCAAAAAATTTTAAATTATTCTGTCACATCATTTAGCGTATAGTCACAGAAGCTTGCTTAGTACTTCCTACTGTGTTTTATAAATTCAAATACACATCTTTGACCTAATAACATCTAATACAAAATGACACTTAATTCAGGAAATGAAACACTTTACAAAACTATGCTGCAACTACTTTTAAGTTTCTCCTATTTCGTTGTTAGTCTTGTCAGATATTTTAATTCTAGAAATAATTAGAAGTAACGTGTAACATGAAATGACTATAGTTTATATAATCCTTACTCATTTAAATGGTGCACTATCTCCCTTTTTTTTTCCCTGACGTTTTTGTAGTGTCATTTGGGACATTTCAATTCTGTATTTTTCTTCAAAATACTGTAATTATAAATCTGCTAGTTAGATTCTAAAAATTGTATTTTCCCCTCAGATTTTACTTCCGTTTCGGGGGATACTTTTGGTGCATGAGTGCACATGCTCTTGCTGGCCCCTCGGTGTGGCAGGGGAGGCACCAGGGTGCTGCACACGCTCCTTGTCTCCCTTTCCCTGCTCACTCTTTGTCCTTCTCTTTCCCTGGGGCATAGTGGTCTGTTAGTGCTTTGAGGCTTCCAACAGACTAAAATATAATTATTCAACTTTTCTAGTGTTTCTGAAAGGGTGATAAATTCTGCAGTTTTTGGAAATATAAATGTATGCTATACACATTGCGTATATAGTATATAGTATATAGTATATAGTATATAGTATATAGTATATAGTATATATGGTATATATGGTTGTATTGAATTGAGAAAGTTCTTCTCCAGAAAATAATTTGTTCAGTGTTATTCTTATCAATGAAAGCTGAAAAATTGTCCAGGTCTTTTCTTTGATTTTTTTCTGATTTGTCAAGACACTTATCTATGTATCTATGTGTATATGTCTGTGTAGTATAGTCATTATATGTAGTGTTTTAATTGTTTTATCTAAATAAGCTCTCAGTGGTGATATACAGGAACACAGTTGTTGTACCAATGCATACTAGAACAAGGATGATGGGAGGTGGCCGTTTTGGAATCGTGTGGCTTCCATTATTACTTTGTACATTTTATCACATTTGATAGAATATATGGAGTCCAATTATATATTTAGGTGAATATGATATTTGCTTTTAAAATTTGAATATATTTGCTTGATTGACTGCTTTACATTAGATTGTAGAAAAGTTTGCTAAAGTGCTTTTCTCATTAACATAAATTACTGTCAAAAACTTTTCTAGGTTCATTGAAATAGTCAAGTGATTTTTAAAAACTTGCAACTTTAATATTACTCTTACTTAACATATTAGTTTCTTAATATATTTTCTAAAGTTAAAGCATCCTACCATGCTTAGGTGAATTGCAACTGGATCATAACGTAGACCATAGTTTTAACATAAGTTTGCTGCACTGTGGATAAGTCTACAAATAATTAATATGGTCGTATTTGAAAGCAGTATTGCACTATTTTATTTCTTTGTTTTACTTTAAATTCTGTCCACATAGGTCCTAATTCCAAGCAGTTGAGCTACAGGACATTAAAGAGGATTTGTCAGTAAGGTCTTTAAAGAATCATGTACAGTATTTTATTCAATTGATGATCTCTGTGTGTTGTGTAGTTATAAGGAACTAGATTTTAATATGTGTTACTTAGGAAATTGTTAAAAATATAATGGATGCATACTAGGAGACCCTCCACAACAGTTGGAAGCAACTCAGAGTTCACATACAATGTTACATGTTCTTTAAAAGTTGCTAAGTGAAGAGTAATGATTAATCTTTATCACACTAGTCACACTATAAAATAAAAATATAAATCATAGTGTAAAGATATACACAGTTAAAACAAAAAATAGAAAAGGTCTTCCTGGTTTTCTGGCTTCATGACATGTCTGGCAGCCCACCTTAGGCAGACGCTCCTGTGCCAATCTGAACTCCACAGTCCCCAAGTCAGGACCCATCTCTCTATAAAACTTCCCAGAAAAATTCCAGATCACACTGATGTCTGCTGTATATTAATACACTTTTCATCCAGACAATGCCACATAAGAAACAAGTCAAAGTAATTGTGTCAGCTGTAGAGAGGGATTTTTCACATCATTCTTCCTCTTCCCAAGCACGGCACATTTTAGTTGATAATCTCCATGCCTACACCCTGTGGAGCCCTGGGCAATTTTGCTGGTTGGTTCTCAGGAAAATATTTTATCTTCATCCAATATCATATTCAGAACAGACCTGTCTGGGTTAGGGAGGGAGGCTGTCACTGTTACTTCTTTTTAACTTTCCATAGTGTTCTTTTGATCTTTCCCTCTTTGTTCTTTCTCGTACTTAAGAGCAGACCTTGGCAGAGACATGGTCTTTCTAGTTCCTTTTGATTTCTCCCCTTTCTCCTTGACCAGAGGCGAGATTAGAGACAGTGAAGGGCAGATTCCCCGTAATTTTTCTTATCTGTTATAGTGGCCTTCACTCCTGGGCAGTAAGAAAAGTACTCGTAATTCTTAACTGGCTCTTGTAGTTGTGTAAAATTTGCTAGTTGCTTTCTATGAGCACTTTCATTTTCATCAGTCTGTATTCACTGTCCCTTGGTTTATTGTCTTGGGGTGTAGATTTAAAGGAGCAGTAAAAATTGTGCAATTGTGACTGCAAAGCTTCACTTGTATAGCTGAACAGGAAGGAAAAGATCTGGTGTTCAGTAATGAGCCCACTAAGAAAGAATTTGGGAAAGCAGCATCATTCACAATGTAAAAACAGGAAAAATTCAATATTTAGGAACTCATCTAACAAAGGCAGTGCAAACCTGTAAAATGAACATATACTATTCTGAAAAATAAGCTCAAAGAGGAAGTCAGAAAATGGAAAAATAGCCTGTTCTTGGATAGGCAGAATCAATATAGTCAAAATAATCATACCTTCAAAACTGATAAACATTTAATATAATTCCAATCAAAATACCAATAGGATTCCTCACAGAACTAGAATTGTTAAGAGAAAACAATTCTAAAATTCCTGTGGAACCAAAACAACCCAACATAGCAAAACAGTCCTGGACAGCAAGAACAGAGTAGGAGGCATCACAATTCCACGAAATGACTGGAAAATGTAGTGGACATTACCGAAAGAAACTCCCCAACACTGAAGCAACTCAAGGTTCATGTACAATATCAAATGTTCTTTAAAAAGCATTAAGTGAAAAAGGTAATGATTGATCTTTACCATAATATTCTTCATGTAAATTAAAAATATAAACTGTAATGTAAAGATATACATATATTTAAAACCACAAATATAAAAGGTCTTCCTGGTTTCCTACTTTACGTCACATCTGGTGGTCTTCTTAGGCATAGTTCGAGTTATGTTGCAAAGTAATAGTAACAAAAACAATATGGTAAGGGGGCAATGACATGTGGATCAATGGAACAGAGTAGAGGATGCAGAAACAATTCTAGGTATTCAGTCACCTGATCTTTAACAAAGAGTAGAAAACTTTGCTGAAGAAAAGATAGCCCATTTAACAAAGAGATTGAATCTAAACCTGTATCTGTCACCATGTACTAAAATAAAATAAAAATGTATTAAACATCTAATATTAAAACAAGCTATCTACTGGAAGATAAAATAGCTTAAACTCTTGATGCAGAGGCATAAGCAAGGACTTTTTGTGTTTAACAGAACTCCAGTTATACAAGAAATAACATCAAGCATCAACAAATGGGATTATTTCAAATTAAAAAGCTTCTG